GTTGGCTGCCAGCTCTCAGAGAATCCAGAGAGCTAACATGTAAATTTTGACTCCCAGCTCTCAGAGAATTAAGAGAGCTAACTCAGGATGATTTGAAAGACTGAAAAAATTCTTAATAAATTTGTTCTTGAAGTGACTTACCAAACAGACATTTTTTTTCTCCAAGTTTACCAGTAAGGTTACAGGCCCTTTACACTGTATGATTTTACCTTCTTGCAATATTCTGTCTCGGTTAATTTCTCTCATTCCTTCCATGCTGGATTTAGAGGAAGTTAATGGGCGGGTCTTAGGCCCTCCTGATTGCCCTAAAGAAATAACCCCACATCCAAAGTTTTAAAACCTTTCCCTTCAATTTTTAAGTCCATATGGGGGCTCTGTTGTTTCCCCACAACAGCATTCCAGAAGACCCCTTGATGTAAAGGGGGGTCAGACTTCTCAAGTACTCTTTCCTGATAGGCATACATGTTTACTCTAGGAATGAAAGGAAGCAAAGATTGGCTTAAGCGATCTTCTTTATAAACCATGGTGTATCAGAATCCATCACTGCCTTAACTTCTTCATATTCCTGTTCACTAATTCCAGCAACAATCTGAGCACCTTGAGAATTTAGATTAGACTTTCCTAATAAACATCCCGTAGTTCTCTTAGGCAGCGGGCCCCAATTACTGCTCTTAATAATTTCTGATTCAATTACAGCTTTAGGCTTTTCCTCACAACTCTGATCCACTCCAGTATCAATTTGGATTCCCTGAGTACTTAGGTTAAATCTTCCTGATAGAAACTGTATTACTCCTTCATTAAGAGGCTCCTGCTTTTTAGAATCAACAGGCTGCTGCAAGGGCTTCTGAGTAATTTCTAGGTTAGTCAAGCTTATTGCAGCCAGAACAGGGGCTGGGGTTTTGCGAGTTGGGTTAGGTCTGGTCTCCAGCTGTGAGACTGGGTGATACCTGCAGTTTCTCTCTAAGATCTTTGCTCCGGCAGGCAGACACCTTGCCTCCCATGCTCTGCTGGGTGGGATCTGTATCAAGTTCCTTCCTCTATTACCTGCACTCCGTTCAAAGGGGCTCAGAGTACGCCCCACTACACTTTTTTTGGCTGGGTGTTACTTCCAGATAAATGTCCTCTATTGCTGAATTTTGAATGACAATGCTTTGCCCAGTCACTACCTCTATCGCAGCAGGGGCAAAATCCAGTTTCCTCGGACTCTTTCCCTGGGTCTTTTCCGCTGTGAATCATCCTGTTCTTTTGCAATATCTGCCTGCTGTCTCTGATAATGTCCCTCTGCTCCACATGTAAAGCATCTCCCTTTAGGTCTGGTGTGACTTGCCAAAGCAGCAGCCATGAGGTTGGCTCTGTGCTCATCTGTCCCTACATCCCTGCACAGCCTGATATAATCTAACAGCATGCTCTGTTCCTTGAAAGGGCGTTTGGCAGCTTGACATGATGTATTCGAGTTCTCAAATGCTAATGTAAGAAGATTATCTGCTGCCCCTTTGTCTGTTACATTCTTGTGGACAGCATCCTTCAACCTGGATATAAAATCTATATAGGGCTCATCATTCCTTTGCTGTACTGTCGTGTACCTTAGCCGTCTGCTTCCTGATGGTATTAATTTCTCCCAGGCCTTTAGACAGACTTCCTGTACCTGTGCAAAAGTCTGCTCATCAAAGTTTAATTGTGCCTCAATTGTGATGTAATTCTCATCTCCTAGCAGCTGATGAACTCCTATATCTGTGCCCTCTTCTGCATTTTTTCGTGCTCGTGAAAGAGCTGCTTCATTCCACAGCATCTGATAATTACAGAGATTCTGAAAGTGAAAAACACACTTTCTTCAAAGCTTTCCAGTCTGCCGGGATCCAATATTGCATTTCTGCCATAGACTTGATCATACCAATTACAAATGGTGAATCTGGACCATAGCTAGATACTGCTAGCTTGAGATCTTTCAGTAGCTTAAAGGGAAAGACAGTATATCTCCGTTCTTGATTCCCTTCGGGGTGCTGCTTATCAGGCTCCCTGTTATAATTCTAATGGGATAAGCCATTCTGAATTCTAAATCTGCTTCTTGAGCTCTACTCTTTTCCACCCATGAAAGCAAAGGTGCCTTCCTGACTCTTTGCTTCTCACTTTCCCAGCCTCACTTTCTAGGTTAAATCTATTTGCATTTCTTTGGATCTAATCTCTCCTCCAGCACTGGCTTCCTTGATAGTATTGTGATTCCCTGCGCTATACTCTAGTGGGGCAGATGCTTCTACTCTACTATCGCCTAATTCAAACTTCATTTTCTCAGCTACACCTAAAATCTTCTCATCTGCCTTATAATCATTCTGCCTGTTTCTTACTTGACTTAAGTCTATGTAGCTTAGAGGCTTCTCGCTGCTCTGCTGGTCTTGTTCCTTAGCTCTCTCACCCTGCAGCGGCTCCAACACTGCTTTAATCTGCACCCACAGCTCCCAGGCCTCCATGGGTATGCTCTGTCCTTCCCTGTGAGCTTTTCTTAAGTTAATGGCTACCTTAACCCAGATCTCCAGATCAAAGATTCCTGACTCTGGAAAAGAAGGATTAAATTTCCTTGCCACTTGAAGAAACTCTTTCATTCTCTTATTCATTACCACTACATTTCGTTTCTTCAAGAAGTGGCAAAGAGTGATACTGTACTCTGTATCCTTGCTCTTTGCCTGAGCCATATCTCACTTGGACTAAAAAAATATACTCAAAAAAAATTTTCACGATTCACCCTCACTGTCCAATGAGGCCGTACAATTGTTACACGGGATATAACTCAAAATAGTTCTTTTCCTACAGGGCCCCACGTAATAGGTGCCATATGCAAGGGGAAGCCAGCCCCTAGCACATCATTACGGGTCCAGTAGGTGCAATTGCACAGCGATAATAAGTAAAGACTATATAGTAAAGTCATAGAGAGCATGAGAGATACAAGAGAAATATTGAAATAATGGAGGCAGGCACAATTCATGGTAGCAATGCTCACCTCAGCCCCTCTTGGTGGTCCACGTGGAGAGAGAGACTCTTTAATGCTCACCAAGGCTTATATTTTCTGGGGACATGCAAGCCCCCTAATTACAGGTGAAGACATATGTCACAGGAAAGGGTTGTGCTATAGGTGATACAGTAGTGGAAGGGGGTGTTCTAGGGGTATCCATGCAATAGGAAGAGAAGGGATTGGGGGTATTATACATGTGGCAAGATGGGCGGATCCCAGATTCAGGATGGCAGCCTACCTTGGATGTCCTGGAGCTGGTTTGATCTGTTCTCTGGATCTCCATAAGAACCATTAGCAGTAGGGTGTAAACCCCACCTACAGGAACCAAGCTAATGGTCACAAGCCTCAGGGAGAAGTAGTCCATTATCCCCAGCATCAGGGAGCAGGCCCACCCCTGTGGTGAGAGGAGACACCTCAAGGGAAATAATTTGTATCATTAGCTGCAAGCAGTGTCCTCAGTCTAACATATTTGGGGGAGACGACTTGGGAGAAATCTTTCTGTTTCCCACATCTGTGTTTTAAGTTTTTTCAGCTATGGTTTATGTTGGTAGAGTGTAGGGGGAATCCCTTTTTTCTTTTGGCAGATGGCTTTTGTATATTTTTGAAATTTAAGCACATGAAAATATTTTAAATTTAAGTAGTTAAACCTGTTATCTCTCACATAAATCTCTACCTGTGTTTTATTTTGCTACTTTCAAAATTTTTCTTTTTTATACTTAAATCTTTAATGACCCTAAAATCTATCTGATTTTTCTCTACTATTGTTTCCTCATACATTTTAAGTGCCATTTGTCTTTACGGTTCTGTAGAAAGACAGAACAATTAGGATACACACGCAAACACAGGAACAATGATTTTATTAAGGAAATGGCCCGTTCAGTTCAGCAGTGGCAAAGACTGACTCTGTAGGTTGGCCAAGAGGCTAGAGATTCCAACAGTCTTATGTCCCCAAACCTGAAGGTCAAGTGACAGGAAGAGTGGGGAGTTTGGAAAGATGCCTCATTTTACTGCACTGACAAAATGCTCCCTCTTCACTCTTAAGCCCTTCAACTGATTGGATGAGGCCCACTCATATTATGTAGGGTCATCAGCTTGCTTAAAGTCAGCTCATGTCATCGCATGTTAACAGATCTAGTCTAGTGTTGACCACATAATGGCACCATCACATAGTCACACCAGCTTTAATAAACTCGGGATATTTATGTATGCAACTCTTCTTTCACTTTTGTTTTTATTTGGTCTTGGTGATCGCTTAATTCCTGCTCGATTACTATCCTCTTTTTTAATTGAAAAGCTGGAGAATATAAGGAAGGCTTGCTTTGAAAGATTAAGATTTTTTAACAAATCTAAAATAGTTCATGGTTTTTCTCCCTTGTGTATTCAAATAATGCTTTAAGTTCACATTTTAAAGTATTTTTTTAGTGTGTAAGCTCCTTGGAAAGGAATTGACATCTTCATCATTAAATATTCCCATCTAAGAACATGGTGTGTCTTTCTGTTTGTTAATGCTTTATGCTTCTCAGTTGATTCTTACAGTGTTTCTCCTCAGAGTTGTATATACAATTGAGGTGTCAGGGTTATATTTGCTCAATATATTTATTGAGCATGTATGTATGCTTTATTAAAGTAATGTTGAAAGTGCATTTAAATATTTCCAATTTAGGATAAATTTCACTTCTACTGGTAAAAATGATCAAAAATAAAAAGTCAATAAAAACTACTTCTGGAATAAAACAGAACAGCAATAATAATCTGAAATGATGGTGTGTATAACTAAAGATGATACTGAAAGCTGGAAAAATGAATTGGTTTATATTCATTTTACTCCTAAGCAACAGCGGAAATTTTTAAGTGTTTTAAATAATATGGAGAAAAATTGTTTTCAGAGTTGGTCACAAATAGGTTGTTTAGTGGTCATTTAATACATACTAATAAATCCAGTAAGCCTCAGAGCAGAAATGTTTGCTTGTACTTATGTAATCATATCTTTTAACAGGATAGAGTCACGGACAAGGTGCATTTTAAAGAAAATATTTGTGAAGTCTTTCAAAGGTCTGTAACATCCTTTCTAACTTCATAACTTCAGAATCACGAAACCGTTGTCTTTAAGTGTATATGTGGCACTGTGCTAGTATGCCCTATGTGGATATGATTTTATTACTGTATCAGATTACTCAGATAAGTGAGTATTTTAAGTTGCCTTAATGTGAATTTGATCCTTAAATTGTTTTTGAGGAAGGAAGAAGAGCTAGTAATGGGAGCTTAAGAAGGATGTCTAGTGACTGTAGTGGGGGCGTCATTGTTGTTAACAAAGCACCCCGTCCTGAGCAATGCTGTTGATCAAATCTGACCAATTTTCAGAAGTAGCTTCACAGGCCTTTCTTAGTCCATCTTAGTCCATCTTAGTCTGAGGGACAGATGAACATTTCCATAATTTATAGAGATACAATGATGAGTACTAAGAGCTGCAGTATTCTCAGAACACGTGAAAAAACAAATTAGAGTTCAAAGCAACCTCAGAAACCCTTTGACTCAACTCTTGACTTCCTCGTTTTGCTGATGAGGCAAGCAAACATCATCTGAATAGGTTCAGACCCTTGTATGTTAAGGCATTTGTTCATAAAGTGGGGTCTCTGGAGCAGCAAAATGACCTGGGAACTTAATGCACACACCTACTGAATCAGAAACTCCAAGGATGAACCCTATGAATCTGTGCTTCAGCAAGACTCCATATGATCTCAAGTGTGAGAATCACTGTGGTAAGACAGGTTGACACTGAAGTCCAGTTTGGCTCACAACCAAATGGAGATCATGAAAACAAAAAGGGACAAAGTTATTTTTTTTTCTACTGAAAGAATTTAGCTTACAAATTAAAATAGTGGCGTTGCAAAGCCTGCAGAGATTTATCAATTTGACTCTCTACCACAGTGACCAAGAAAGTGGTATCAGGCAAGTCATTGTATCACTCTGGGCTTTAGTCAGCCAGTCAAAAGTAAAAGGATTGTACTAGATACTCTCCGTCGATAAAATTCCATAATGTTTTATGCGAAAATTTATTAATTTCATAAAAGCTTCCAGATTTCACATCCCCTCCCTCCTTTCGACACACTCAGAAATCCATTGTTAATATTTTTTATGTCTTCAAACTAGTTCCTACCAGTTTGATGACCTGCTGAGAAAAAGAATTTGCACCCTAGATAAAAACCCAAACCCAAACTCATTGCTATCAAGTCTATGCTGACTTATAGGTAGGGGCCCTATGGAACAGAGTAGAACTGCTTCAGTGGGTTTCTGAGATCAACTCTTTATGGGAGTAGAAAGCCTCCTCTTGCTCCTGAGTGTCTAATGACTTTAGCAGCCCAGCACATTACCACTGTGCCACCAGGCCCCCTTACCCTAGGAAATTCTTGTGTACATCCTCTTCACATTTACTGGAAGATCTTGTTATTTGACATTTTCCTGCATTTATAACAATAATAAAATCTGTTTCTGGGTGGCATATGTCTGGCAGTAATCAGCACTAGGATGTGAAGTGAGAGTAACTGTGATGGTTAAAGTTATGTGTCACCTTGGCTGGCTGATGAATCTCAGTGATTGGGTGGTTGTGTATTGTGCATGTAAGGCAGCCATGTAAGACTAGTTATCTTCCATGTTGTGATCTGATAAGATCATCGCCCATTTTCTCATAATGCCAATTTTCACACAAAGACCTGTTATTTGGAACCTAATCAGGTTGACGGGGTGGGAGGGGGGTGGCCTCAGAAGATATATGCATAAGAATCTCCTGGGGAATCTTACGAAAATACAGAGTTTGTGATTCTGTGTATCTGGGGTGGAAATACAAATTCTCAGCAGATAGTCCTTAAGATAAAAGATTATAGCATCTGAGGTGAAGTGTTAGTCTTAGCTCATATCATTTATGTCTATTCCTCAGCTCTGAGGTACTTTCCTCTCCTTCCCTGTGTTGGTTCCAGCCTCGCAGTCAAACGGGTCCTTAGGAGCGAAGTGTGCTATTGTAGCGAAAAGGAGACAGGAAAGCAAGGCACGGGACTGATCTCCAGTATCTGGAGTAGAGCAGTCATTCAACAATAAGGTTTTATAGTAATGGGCTTGCAATCCTCTTGTTAGTACATGGAATGAATGGGCAATGTATTCATCTTGAATGAGCCCTCTGGGGAACACTTCAAAGGAAGAGTCTGGCAGCAAGAAACAAGTGGTGTCAATTGCTTTTTAAGAATAAAAGACAAAGGCAGAGGATCCTTTAACTCAGTGGTTCTCAACTTTCCTAATGCCACGACCCTTTCATACAGTTCCTCGTGTTGTGGTAAACCCCCCCCAACCATAAAATTATTTTCGTTGCTGCTTCATAACTGGAATTTTGCTACTGTTATGAAATGTAAGGTAAATATCTGATATACAGGATGTATTTTAATTGTTACAAATTGAATGTAATTAAACATAAAGCATAGTGATTAATCACAAACAATATGTAATTAAATGCTATGAAATATTTGTGTGTTTTCCAGTGGTCTTAGGCCACCCCTGTGAAAGGGTCATTCGACCGACCCCCAGGGAGTCACGACCCCCAGGTTGAGAACCTCTGCTCTAACTGCTCAAGCATGTGAGCAGCCAGGCATGTGGGAGACAGAAATGTTCTTCCTGGGGAATATGTCCATTTGGCTTCATCATCTCAGGACTGTGGAGGTGGTCCTCTAAAAGGGAGTGCTGGTTTTCCAAGCTCTGTGGTCACCACGTACCCTTCCTGCCAGGTCCTCAGTTTCCCATTCCCACACCCCTGCCTCCACCTTTGCTCAGCTTATTTGTCTACATAAATGACCTCCAGATTAGGTTTTTCTGAAGTGGGATGACAGAGTTCACACATTAGGAAACAGACAAATTTGTTGAAGAATTGTATACTTCTCCCCAAAGGAACCACTTAAGTACATGTATAGATTTATTGCAAATACTTGTCCTGGAGAAAATGTATCATTTATTTATTTTGTTGCACTTACAGTAGAATCATTGGATGACCTTTCCTGAATTAAAACATTCGTATAGTTCTTCCTCAGCCATGATGTCTAGCATGATCCAAAATGTTTTACTCCAGTTTGAACTCCTTACTCCTACTCATACCCCAGTGATTTAGTAACAATTAGCATTCTAGTTAAGAAGAACACTTTATTAAGGATTAAGCAATTTTAAGAGTCCTTGACTATTAAGAACCATAGAATGTATAATATAGATATCATAACATTTCTATTGATTTTATTATCTTAAAAAATAATTTAAATTGTGATTTTTATTTTTATGGCCACCCAGCAAAGATTTGAAAACTGCAGAGACTGTGACTGGTGAAGGTCAATTAGCAGCACTGGGCCCTAAACCTCTGTACTTTTTGGTGCCACCTGTAAGTCTAAGTACTCTTCAAGAAGACACAGCCCTGAGACCCTGGATGAATGGTACTGTTTCCTTAATAACATTCCTTGGCTTGTGGTAATAGAGAAACAATTTTTCCACCAAAGACAAAAAAGTACATCTTTTAAACTTGTGAGACTTCTGTTGAAGATAGAGCAATTTCTCAAATAGTTGTATGTGACAGTGGTAGTATAGGAACATCTAAAGTTCTTATTTCAATAGGGTATTTGTGTACATGTCTTTTAGAATTTGGGATAATTTTTTATAGTTCATAAGACTAAATCGATTACATGGCACTGAAAATCATTCAGAAGCTATAAAGTCACTCTGGGAAGCTCATGCTTCACTCTTACACACCTTGTCATTGCTAACTTGATGCTACCCAGTGGGCTCAAAGAGTCCCAATGGCTCTCAACAACAGAGACCCACAGTGGCCACCTGTTTTATTTTACAATGGCTTACATGCTTAATAATGCAAAATACGGTCAAATTGCATCAGCTGGTTGCAGATTACATCTTTATGCTGCCAAAGTAAAAACTGAAAATATTTTAAGTAAATTATTTGTTTCTTTATCTTTAGAAAAGAATATTTTTAAATGCTCTGCTGCTCATCGTAAAAGACTATAAATTAGAAGGGATAAGACCCCTACCTCACTTTGTCAGAACTTTTCTTCCCTTAGAAAAATGTGTGTAAAATTTGTCTATTTAACTTTAGGCTTATCGTTTGAGTGCATTGCTCTATGCTGCTTTGTAAGATTTAAAATAGTTGTCTTCGGTGTACATAATGCCCAAAGCCAAGTCCACTGTCAGCCATGTCTCTTTCAACTTGGAGGGAGCCTGCCTACAGGACAAGGGAGAACTGCTCTCTAGGGAAATCTGCACAGAGGCAGATAGCTTCATTCATCTGCCTCTCGCAACACAGCTGGTGGGTTTGAACTGCCCATCTTGCAGTAACCCACTCAACCACCAGGGCTCCTCTTCTTCCGTGTGTATCAAGTTGAAAATTTGAACTTGGCCTTATAATTAAAAGCACCTAAAATGTAACCAGTTACGTATCTCATGGAAATGTCCCATGGCAGCACCATCTGTATGTACACTGAGCACGAGTATTCCCAAGTAAAAGGTTATTGTACTTAGTAGTGACCATCATTCCATTGTTTTGAAAGAATAAGTTTTGACACTGGTATGTAATATCACTGGTAATTATTTCTAGATTGCAGATTTCCAGGAAAACATTCCCTCCTAAAGTTGCAGAATTCTGAAACTTATGAAATATTTAAGAGAGAAAATCTAGGGGTAAGTACCCAACACTTTTTTTTTTTTAAGTAATCTCATAAAACATTTACTTTGGGTCCTTCTGGTTTCTCTGTGATCACTTTTTTATGTTCTGGATGTTGTGCAGATATTAAAATAAAATAGGACACGGAGGCAAGAGGCACAAAAAATACATATTGACTCTGGATTCTAATAACACGAGCTTGAAAACAGAAGAGTAGCAACAGCCAAAACAGAAAATGAAGTGTTTACTTGGTGATAGAATAGAAGCTGTCAGTATTAAGCAGCCGATTATTGGAAAGGGATGTTGTAAAAAGCTCTAGTTCTACCATTTGCCTTTTTTTTATTATCAGAAACACTAATGACAGGGCTTGGTTGTAATAAATCTGAAATATGATGCATATTACCATAGAAATAACTTTTTATAAAAGCAGCAGCATGTACACGGGAAGGAGGAGGGACTAAATAAGCTTTTAAAACATGTAAGATAATAATAAGCTTGCTGTATACTAAGGGAAATTGACAGATGTAGAGCTAAATTACTGTAAATCAAATTTTCTTTCCTTTTAAAAAATTAACCATTTTACTGGAGGTTCTTACAAATCTTATAACAATCCATCATTCAATTGTATTAAGCACACTTGTACATATGTTGCCATCAACATTTTCAACACACTTTCTTTCTACTTGAGCCCTTGGTATCAGCTCCTCTTTTTTCCCCTCCCTCCGCCACCCTCCCACCCCCACGAATCCTTGATCAACTATATATTATTAGTTATTTCATGTACATTTTACAATTATATATTGTTATCTCATGTTACATTTTTCTTAATTGTAAATGCATGGGGTTTTGTTTTTTCTTAACAAAATAGCAAACCATTTATTTTGATACTGTTTTATTATGTAATATTTCTGTTACTTCAAATGCCTTCTCATTAGATTACAGTAAGTGTTTTACAGTTAACACTGAAAAAGAATTTATCTAATATTCTAGATGTTCCAGAAGCCTCTAGGGTTAATAATACCGCACAGATATTGCAAGTTTCATTTTAATTCATTACGTGGCTGTGAACGATCACAGTGCAAGTTTACTCATGTCCCTGAACAAGGAGATGAAAAGGTAAAATTTGTAGTCTTTAAAGTAGAAATTGTTTTAAGTATATATCTCTATATCATGCATTTTCACTAAGATTTTCATGAACTCCTGTTTTAAGAAAAAGTCAATGACTATCAAGTCCATTCTGACTCAAGAGTGACCCTGTAGGACAGAGTAGAACTGCCCTGTCGATTTCTGAGACTGGTATCCAAAACTGGAGGAATCCCACTGAATGACTAAATGCTAGCCTCTACTTTTTATTTTATACCCGAGTTGGTTCTTTCCCATTCTTAATAGCATTAAGCTATGAGGGGTACACCACCACCACTACCACCCCGCAAAAATGGAACTTTTTTCCTTCAAAGCTATGTATTTAAATTTTTTTACAAAACAACCTTATCACCTTCAAAGTACTCTCCATTACACTTAATGCATTTGTCAAATCTGCAATTCTATTCTTGGAAACATTTTTCAAACTCAACTGTTTGGATAGGTGACAGCACTTCCCTCGTTTTTTTTTTCCACCCCTTCTACGTCATGAAATCGCTATCCTTTCATGCCCCTCTTCATTTGCAGAAACAAAAAGAAGTCGCATGGAGCAAGGTCAGGTGAGTCAGGTGTGGGGGACAAGAGAGGCATGCTGATTTTTACCCAAAACTGGCACACTGAGATGACTGCATGAGCAGGTGCGTTGTCTTGGTAACAAAACCAGTCCCCCATCTGCCACAAATCAGGCCTTTTTTGTGGCACAGTGTTAGACAATCTTTTCAGAACCTCTAAATAGAAAGCTTGATTAACAGTCTGACCTGGTAGAACAAACTCTAAATGCACTATTCCCATCACATCAAAAAAAAATATATATATATATGAACATCGTCTTGACCTTTTGATCTCACTTGACGAGCTTTTTTTGGTTTTGGACAAGGTGTTGATGGCATCTTCCACTGGCTTGATTGTTTGCTTTTAAGTATTGTAAGAATAGCACCATGTCTTGTCACCAGTAATGACCTTGGGGAAAAACATCTGGGTCACTTAGGAGCTGTTCTTTCTAAGCACCGCATGTTTTCACTATGGTCTTTTCCTGGTCCGTAAAAACCCAAGACACACATTTCACAGCAACCCTTCTCATTCCCAAATCTTCTGTTAAAATTCATTGAACAGAGCTCCCAAGATAGTTCAGATAACTTCCTCATCTCCTCAGTGGTCCATCGTTGATCTTAGAGCACAAGTGCACGAATTTTGTTGACATTTTCATCCATTCGGGAAGTTAACAGACATCCAGAAAGAGGTTTGTCATCAATTGACAGTTCACCTTTTTGGAAATGTGAAAACCACTCGAACACTTCAGTTTTTCCCATAAGGCTGTCCTTGTCAGCTGTGCTCAATTTCACAACAGTTTCTGCAGCATTTTTCCCAAGCAGGAAACCAAATTTCACAGCTGCACACTGTTCTCTTAAATCAGCCATCACAAAAAATGAGGTTCAAGCGAAACTGCTTTTATGAGAAATTTCACTGTGACCACAGAGAACCTTCCCAGGAGACACCACTGGATGCACTAACTCAGAGTGAATTGCTTGATGCTGACCGAGCTAGAAAAATGCATACTAAGTAAGCTCTGCCCAGCAGAGCTTTTTTCCAGTATTTTTGGGGTACTCCTTGTATATTCAAAACTCTTTAGACTCACTAAACTTCCTATTAATTCAACATCATCTATAACTAATACTGTCACTGTGATCCTCTAAATATTTATGACTAGTATATATGCACCATATACACTCGATTATAAGCTGTTTTTTCAGCACATTTTTTATGCTGAAAAATTCCCCCTTCCCCCAGTTTTTTGTGGTAAAATTAGGTGCCTTGGCTTATACTCGAATATATACAGTAATAGCATTTATAGTTTACCATGGTAGAAAAGGCTTCATCCTTGTCATGTAAAGCAGCTGGTGGTTTTGAACTGCAAACCTTGCAGTTTGCAACCCAACACGTACTCCTCTATTCCCCAAGTGCTCTCATTGAACTCGGAATAGCATAGATACAGTGCTTTATATAGATGGAGTTTACAATATACTTTTGTGTCTGGATTATACAATTTATATAAGATTTTAGATGTTTCTCGTTGCTGTATAATATTTATTGGCCCATGGTGGTGAGAACATATCAAAGTTTATTTTTGTTCATTTATATTACTGTGTGAATATTTTGATAGTTTTGATTATTACAGTAGTGATGCTATCAGTATTATTCTGTGTCTATGTTTTTTGGGGAAAATAATGCATATTCTGATGATTTTTACTGGAATTGCTGGATTATAAGGTCTGTATCTATTCAACTTTAATAGATATTACCAAACCATTTTCCAGAGTGATGGTTATAACAAATAACAGTTCAGTCAACAAAATCTGAGAGTTCTGATTGATTCATTTCATCAGTGTTTGGTATTGTCAACCTTTTAACTTTCAATCATACTTGTGGCTTTGTAGTGATCGCTGTGGTTGTAACTTGCAGTTTTCCTGATAGCTGATGCATCTGCCAAATGCTCATGACCCATTTGGGTTTTGTTTGTTTATATATCCAGGTTTCCTGCCTATGTTGTATAGGATTTGGTTTCTTACTGGTCTATGAGAATTGTGAATTTAGCACTCTCATCCATTTAGAATGGATTTTTGTTTGTTGTGTAAGAAAAAGCTCAAAATACATGTTTTTCCCATGTTGATCTTATTTTAAAAGACTCTTTTATTCCACTGCTTGGCATTGTCATTCATTCATAAACCAGCTAATTGTATGTGAGTGGGTCATTTATTTTTAGACTTGCTCCTAACCCATTAGAGTGTTTATCCTTGTACCAGTAAATATTTATTTCAAAAATAATTTCGTAATGGATTCAGTATTTATTTCTTATCTGAGTTAGCTTAGTATCAACTGTTTTTTTCTAGTGCTTTAAGCTCATTTAAAAATTGGATATAAACACAAAACTAGGATTGAAATGTGTAGCTTCTATGAAAAATAATTTTACTTTATTTTTGTTACTTTTACAGGTTTGCATGGATGTATTTAAGAAATATATAAATATCAATGAGTTATGTTTGCTACAACGTGCAGGTATCAATTGATTAGTTAATAAAGGTTCATTAATGTAAATGTTTCAAATACTGTACTATCTTATACTTTAAAAGTAAATTTTGTACTTTTCTAGGTATAAAAATGTTTTATCTAAAATGGGCCTAGCTTAAAGTAATCAAAGGACATACAAAAGATAATACAATTGATCCTATAAATTTAAATTTCAAAAATATTTGCTTCAAGTATTTTAGCTTTAATATAGGGAATATACAAAAATATTACAACTTATAAGCATAAGAAGAGCTGAATCAGCTACTGATAAAGAAAGACTTGAGCAGAAATTTTTCTTCCTTGTTTGAGAATTAGAAACCGTCCAGGAGAGGAAATTCCAGGAGTTTCTCATGTGGTTTGCCAGAATTGTGTGCGTGTGGTAAGGAGCCTTGGCAGTAGAGTGGTGACGCATTGGGCTATGATCCCAAAACTCAGCAGTTAAAAACCACCAGCCACTCTGTGGGAGAAAAATAGGATGGTTTACTCCTGTAAAGTTACCATCTTTAAAAACTCCCAGGGGCATTTCTTCTCTGTCGACTCCTACAGCTCAGCATTGACTCTATGGTAGTGTAGTATGAATTGTCAAAACTCTTTTAAGAAGCAATGTGTTATTTCAAATCAAAAGTTATTAAAATGTTCAAACTTTTCAAATCTATAATCTAGCCATACAAGATCATTTGGAAAACAGTAATGGAATTGATGTTATAGTAATTAAAATTTTAAGAAAAGTGAAAAGGATGATGTATCAATTAGTGGACTATTTGCATATTGGCTGACAAATTATTTCTATGTACACGCTCCCTTTTTAAAAATGTTTTATTAATTAGTTATAGTAGCAGACACTCATGATTATCAGTTGGTCTGCTTCATATATAGGTGGCTGTATAGAGACTACAGAGTGAATACCAGTAAAATTTTATCTGTACTTGCCCAAGCAAAACAATTTCAGCATATAAACTTTTATCACAAAGTTGACTCTTATTATTACCATATTATGTGTGTTGAAATTTTTGAAATTATAACTTTAATTTAATTATTCTGTAGTGTCATTGAATTTTAATCAGTATTACTGACTCCCAAGCAGTACCAGTGATGCACCTTGTAATTGGTATTGCTGGTACAAATAATTAACACAAAAATAGTTTTTACAAAAATGAAAATAATCTCTGTTGTTAAAGTTCTTAGTAGACTCCATAATAATAAAGTAGAGTGACAAACACCCTAGAGTCAAGATTTTGATGGGATTAACATAGCAAGAAAGGGTGATATCAAAATAGTCTGCTTCTGTACCCACACTCCACAATTCTTACAAGTGGTTAGGCCATTGCTTCAAGACTAAAGCAGTTTGATTCCCTGGAGACTAGTGGTTTGGTAGTTTAAACCTAGGCTTTGTAGATAACACATTGCTTCAAGTCTGGGTGCCTTCAAATATGATTGTCATTTTGACTGTTGCTTAGGTTATTTTTGTTAAATACTTCTGAAACTGGAAATGTGCCTTTCAAGAAGACTAACATATACTATCTAAATGCTATATTTAAATGTTATGTTAAATGTTAATATTTAATTTTTTAAAAAATAATCGTTTTATTAGGGGCTCATACAACTCATCACAATCTGTACATACGTCATCTGT